CATAGAGCAGTATTCAACTGGCACAGCCAAGGAGACAAAGCGGCAGGAAAGAGACCAGCGCAAAGAGAGCTAAAAGGTAAGAAAATCTCACCTTAACACTGAAGCGTACATACATGTTTACATTTGTAACGCTATATTTAACTTGCTCTCAAAGTGATAAGGGGATCATGACTGATTGGGATTAGAAAATAACACTCTAATAGGAGCTATTTGTATTATCAGAAAGTCTTTGTGGATATATAGTTCACCAACATGTGTTTTGCAATTTAATAGTGATTTATGTCATACATAGGGAAAGAATATATTTAGACAGGGTGATGTTTTGTGGATAATGGAAAATGGTTTTCCATTCTCTAAGGACAGTTACTGTTTGACAGCATTAGCTTACTAAAACAATCTACTTTTTTTCTTACTGACTCAGTAATTTACTATGTTTTCAATTGTTTTACTTTACAGAGCATTTTGTAGAGGTATCTTTGTAAACTGTGAGGTCATGGTCCTAAAACTGAGCCAAGTAGCTTCAGTAAAATTGCAATTCAATTAGATTCTGCACAAGAAAAGAAACATTGACAACGAATGTCAGAAAATATTATTGTTTCCCTGAATATTCTTGAAGCAATATAAAAGGTAGAAAGAGACAAGATCTTAAATAATAAGAAAACATCTTCTGCATATTTTACCTTCATTATAAGAAGAAAAATATTCAGTCTGAGCAGAAAGTTCTTACTTGTTCCTGAATGTATATACTCAGGAACAGCCATAAATATTATTAGTAATTATGTTATAAATTTACTCATAAATTTTTAAGAAATACATTTATAATTGTAAGTGGTTTCTGGTTGTATAATATAATTTATCTTTAACTAGGTGTACTCTTTTGCATTGCAACTACTGAAGATGTATTAAGTAAATAATTATAAGTATAACCTCACTGGTGGATGGCCAATCCCATGATATTTAAGTTCTCATTCTATAAAAATGACCTTATCCACCTCCACAGTAATGTCAATAGATACCCAGGACCACATCCTATGTCCCTAAGTAGGTTTGAGTAGGTATGAATATTTCAAAACCTTTTCCTTTTAATCAGGTGGAATCAAATGGAAGATCACCGAGATGTATTGACCTCAATTTTCCATTATGCTCAGCTAGCCTTAAGTCTCGTTGAGCATCTTATGGTTTGAAGTACTAATATAGGTTCGACATATGCCTTTTGGCTACCCTGATATTCAGTAAGAAAACACATTATACTAACCAAAATCACAATTGTCCGCTGGTGACCTCAATATCCTCAATATCATATTTACCTTTAAGTGTTATAGGGTGGTATTAAGTAAATAACAGAAGAGGTTCTCTCTGTGGTTCTGCCCTTTCCTCACCCATGCCACGTGAGTCAAGGTTTAATAATGAGAGAGGGGTCTGCTTCTGATCATTGGACCTTTCCAAGTCTTTGTATCATATAGTCTTATTGTTTTGTTTATATGTATTTCTTGTATCCTTACTACGGCTTGTTTTTGTCCACTCTCACCCATCTCTGGGTTCTCCATTATTACACCTTAATGAAGGTTTCACATTAACAATGTCTACCGGTAATACTTATCTTGACTTTTGCATTCTTATGTATTGCAAGAATATTAGAATAATATTAGTAATGCAGCACTATTACATTTTACAGTACAAAAAATAAAATAGTCCTGGAATCTGGAATGGACAGCTGTCGTATAAGAACAGCAGACTGGCAAAGTATTATGGGAGTGTATTTCTACAAGGGATCTACCTTTGGTTACTGTTGCTCTTTATTTTCTTATAATGCATGGGAGAATGTTTTCTGTAGCTATTTCTACATGGGCATCGGAGGATGTTTCCTGTACCTATTCCTACAATAAAATATTTAACTTTCTAAATCCAACACAAATATATTCTTGTGTTTTGATCTTTTAACACAGAGTGTTTTTTAATGAAAAAAAAGCCATGTCACACCAATTCAAGCCAATTGGGCGTGGGCAGATAACATATTTAAATTAAATTAACACCCTAACAACAGTATCATCCTACTACCTTTGTAACTAGTTTACCTTCACAGAAAAGTCAATTATTCAAAGTAGTATACCACCATGAGCTCCGGTTTGTTTTATTTATAGCTATTTTAGTGTTATTCACATTATTTGTTTTGTGACTTAAAGACTTGCTCAGACATTGTTTTAAAATTGCTTTTAAGCCTCTTTTATTGTTTTATTGTTTTCAAGTCCAGATTCAACAATATGACAGTAAAAAGGTATGAGTATACAATGATACACAGTATCTAGCAGCAACAGGAGATATTACTTTCTAAAGTATTGCGGGGGAAGGTCCAACATGTTTGAAGTGCAACATATCCTCGCCAGAGCAAAGACCAAATTATGAGAGATATTCAGTATATTGAGAGTAGGCAAGATTGTATGAAAAAAATAACACCAAATAAACTAGTGACCAAACAAACATAGAGCCTTAAAGCTTTGGTACCATGCAGTAATTGCATTTGTTTTTTACCCTATCGTTCACTCCTTTAAACCCCACTTTAAACCCCCGTCTCTATGAAACAAAGCAATACAGTATTGGTGATCTTTTGCAATGCATTTGCCATGCAGTAGTCCATGGTCCTGTGAGTAGTTACAGAATCATGGTGGAATTAAGTGGACATTTAAGAGCTCTTGAAATGTGTGTTAGAAGGATTATTTGTTTTTAAACTTCAGTGGTTGGTCTAAATAAAAGCAATGGGATTGTTTTGGGACTGTTTTCAAGGACTTTTAGAGTTTCATTTCAAGCTCATTTGAAGGAGCTACAATCCCAACCATTACCAAGATATTAACTTACATTATAAGGCTGTCAGGATAAGCCTTGTATATTTGTATTTTGCTCATGGAATAAGTTAAAAACACATCCAGTCCAGCTTTTGAAACTAACTCCTGTTTCTATGTTAGGGTTGTTCACAGGGCACTCACCTGCATTGAGCTCCAAGGTAAAAACTTATGCTGCTTTGGAATCAAAGCAGAAACTAAGAATGTCTTACCAACATTTGTTTTAATATGTGGTAATTTTTGCATTCTGGGGACACTCAATATTTCTATATTTATGTGGTAATGCATTGGGTTAGATTGTTGACCAGTGATTTCCTACATAATCAGCAGGTGCAAGTTATTTTCCTGTGATATGATCTTTCTGCTAGTTAATGGACTGGTTGAGAAGTAGAAAAGAGCACCTGTTACAGAAACTTTCAAGCACCACAACCACTACAGTGATCTGTATTGATTATTGTGCCAGGAGTGCCCTGGCCCCCTGCACCATTGTAAGTAGACAGACCATTTCAAAATTTTAGAATGTTTTGCCTTTGGGTTCAACTCAGAAAGACATAAGCCTCCTGCCTGAGCTAAGCCTGGCGTTGCAGGGCTTAGCTCACTGGCTGAGGACAGGTAATGAAAGCTCCTGATAGGAGTTTCCATATCTCAGACTGGAAGAGGAGAGGTGGGTATCTGCACCTGGTGGACCCCAAGTAAGACGTAAAAACATTCTTAAAAGTAGTTTGACGTCTTAAACTTGCTGGTAGCCAGGGCACTCCTAGTACTATAAAAAACATAGTGTGCTGGGCCTGAACCTCATGGTGGCTGGTCGCAACTAGTAGGTCCTCACAGAACTTTCAATTTTAGTGGAATCCTGCAAAACTTGACACTCAAAACTGAAACCGGCAGCATCTTACCTGCTATTAAAGCCAGCCTGGAAGATTTGGTCCGGTCTCCAGAGGTGCCGGCTAACTCTGGTCCGCCAGAGCCACCGAGGCCTAGTGTGCACACTGGGCAGGAGAAACATCCGATCTCCTGTCCCACAACACAACACTCTCTCACAGTGAACTACAGCGCCCTGTTACCCCTCCCTCTGGACCGGCGGGGGATATCCCGGTCCCCACTGGGTTGCTTTACTCACCACTGCAGCCAATTAGGCAGCCAATTCTGTTTGGTACCACACCGCAGCTGATTCCCCCAAGATGGCTGACACGCTCACACCACATGAGCTGACTTCAATTAGGGCTGAACACATCATGGAGCGACTGGAACATCACTTTGCATGCTTCTGGGAAAAACTTGAGGCCTACATCATGGCGGCATCACCTCAGTGTCTGGAGAAAGAAACAGGTGACCGTGGAGCAGAGGTGAAAGGGCCTCCTCCGGCAAAGCATCTCAGCAATCTCCTGTGTTTCCCAGCACTGGCCTGACTAGGCTGAGGGCCATTAGGGACGTAGTCCCTGTGCATCAACCACCCAGACGGAAGACCAGAAGCTTCCACAATTCCCCTGTAGGTATGGACTTGAACTCCAATGCGAGCACTCGAGTCCGTGGTTCCCTGATGTTGGCCATCATCATGGCCTGGGGCAGGAGGGGCCCTACACCGCGCTTCTGCCTTACTACACTTCACGGCAACTATCCAGCATTTCCAACCTTGGGCATTGGCTGATGCTGGACTTAATCCCAAAGGCATATTGCCTGTACCAATAGGAGTCTCCCTAAATCCAGTTGCCACCATACGGCACTTCTAAGCCCCTTCTCCCCAATATGAGCGATGGTTTTATTTTGCTCTATTTTTTGTGTTTTACATACTGTTAATTTCATTTGCAATGCAGAACTGTGCCAGTAATCCCAACCCCAGTGGCTCCTTACTCCTGAAACACTACTACGACTAGCGACATTTTACTGTGCTTTAATCCCCATGTCTAGCTAGCCTATCTGTTTAACATATACGCGTTTTCCAGCCTAGACATGTTGAACTAGCCTGTCCCTGCTCGTTATTAATAATTCTCTTAAAAATGCTATGCAATGTGCCTTAAAAGAACACTATAGTCACCTAAATTACTTTAGCTAAATAAAGCAGTTTTAGTGTATAGATCATTCCCCTGTAATTTCACTGCTCAATTCACTGTCATTTAGGAGTTAAATCACTTTGTTTCTGTTTATGCAGCCCTAGCCACACCTCCCCTGGCTATGATTGACAGAGCCTGCATGAAAAACTGGTTTCACTTTCAAACAGATGTAATTTACCTTAAATAATTGTATCTCAATCTCTAAATTGAACTTTAATCACATACAGGAGGCTCTTGCAGGGTCTAGCAAGCTATTAACATAGCAGGGGATAAGAAAATCTTAATTAAACAGAACTTGCAATAAAGAAAGCCTAAATAGGGCTTTCTTTACAGGAAGTGTTTATGGAAGGCTGTGCAAGTCACATGCAGGGAGGTGTGACTAGGGTTCATAAACAAAGGGATTTAACTCCTAAATGGCAGAGGATTGAGAAGTGAGGCTGCATGGGGCATGTTCTATACACCAAAACTGCTTCATTAAGCTAAAGTTGTTCAGGTGACTATAGTGTCCCTTTAAGTTTTAAGCATAAGTTTGTAAGCATAGCTACTGTTTAAACATGCATGTGTAGCCTAGATACTTTCCTATAGTTACCCAGGCTTTAGCCTGTTATCTCTAACAAATATAAAATCTGCTATTTTATCTGCCATGTCATTGATTGCTATTGAATTGCTTGCATCTGCTGTCGTGGCGTTGCAAGCTTGTCTGTCATTCTATGCACAAGAAAAATAAAGAAATAAAAAAAAAAACATAGTGTGCTGTGGTGGTTATGGTGCTTGAACTGTTACTTTAACCCCTTAAGGACGGAGCCAAATGTACACGTTGTGAACAAAACAAAATGTAAACAAAACCTGGCATTTGCGCTACATGTCTGTCCAACCGTAATACACCTCTTTCATAGTAAATGCACCCACCCTTATTATATATCATTTTATTCAGGGGAAACAGGGCTTTCATTTAATATCAAATATTTAGCTATGAAACATAATTTAATATGAAAAAAATGGGAGAAAATACGATTTTTTGATTTTTTTAGTTCTACATGACATTTTAACGGTCAATGTCATAATACTGTTTGCTTTTACTGCAATAAAATACACATATTTGTATTCAGTAAAGTCTCACGTGTAAGACAGTACCCCCTATGTACAGGTTTTATGGCGTTTTGGGAAGTTACAGGGTCAAATATAGCACGTTACATTTGAAATTGAAATTCGCCAGATTGGTTACGTTGCCTTTGAGACTGTATAGTAGCCCGGGAATGAAATTTACACCCATAATGGCATACCATTTGCAATAGTAGACAACCCAAGGTATTGCAAATGGGGTATGTCCAGTCTTTTTAGTAGCCATTTGGTCACAAACACTGGCCAAAGTTAGCGTTAGTATTTGTTTGTGTGTGAAAAATGCAAAAAACGCCAATTTTGGCCAGTGTTTGTGACTAAGTGGCTACTAAAAAAACTGGACATACCCTGTTTGCAATACCTTGGGTTTCTACTATGCAAATGGTTGCCATCATAGGGGTAATTTTCATTGGGCTACCATTCTCAAAGGCGTAACCAATCTGGCGAATTTTAATGTGAAAAAAATGAAACGCAAGCCTTATATTTGACGCTGTAACTTTTGAAAACACCATAAAACCTGTACATGAGGGGTACTGTTGTACTCGGGAGACTTCACTGAACACAAATATTTGTGTTTCAAAACAGTAAAAAGTATCATAGCAATAATATTGTCCGTTTAATGCTGTTTGTGCGTGAAAAATGCAAAAAACGTCACTTTTACTGGCGATATCATCGTTGTAATACATTTTACTGTTTTGAAACACTAATATTTGTGTTCAGCGAAGTCTCCCGAGTAGAACAGTACCCCCCATGTACAGGTTTTATGGTGTCTCGGAAAGTTATAGGGTTAAATATAGTGCTAGCAAATTAAATTCCCTTTACTTTCGGCATGGGTTGTCATGCAGGTCCTGCTAATTGTAATTAATTAAGATACCTAATTATGTAAAAATATTACATAAATATATATGTAGAATCAATATATGTATATATATACGTATGTGTATATATATGTATATATCTATATAATTTTTTTAAATATTTTTATTTATATATAGGTATATATATAGTGATATATACGTATATATTTATGTGTATAAATATATATATTATTTCGTTCTATGTGTATTTTGATATATATATATATATATTAATTTCACAATACAGTTAGAACGAAATAACACACATCTATATATTTTTTAATTATTTATTTTTAATTATTTTTGTAATTTTATTTTTTAACGTATTTACATTTTAATTTTTTTTATAATATATATAAATATATATATAACAATAATTATATATATATTTAATCAGTATCAGTCTACGTGTAATTTGATATTAATATATATATATAATTATATATATATTAATAGTAAAATACACCTAGACGGTGTACATGTGTGTATGTATATGTGTATATATATACTTTGATCATATATATATAATATATATATATGATCTAAGTATATATAATTTTATTTTTTTACACTTTTAACTTATTTTACTTTTATTTTCAGCCAGCAGGGGGACCCCCTGTAATTACAGGCAGCCCCCCTGCTGGCAATACAGAAGCCAGCTATACCCGGCCATGTGATTGTGGGGTCCTCGCTAGGACCCCACTCTCACACGGCCGGGGGGCTTCCTGGAGGACGGTCGTGCCGCGGGGGGCTCCCTGGGAGTCCCCCCCACCGCGATCGCCGGCGTGGGACCGCCGGCGACCGGGTAAGTACAGAAAGACCGGAGGGCGTACTATTACGCCCGGCGGCGTTTAGAGCCGCCTATTAGAGGACGTAATAGTACGCCCTGCGGTCTTAAGGGGTTAACTAGTTGACAGCTTTTTTCTTATTGTAGTTTCCTACTGAGCTACAGCCAGCCATAGCATTATGACATATAATATTATTACACGCTATATATTTTATATTGTTAGCCATAGCATTATGTAGCAAACCGTGCTGCCTGTCTACTCTGATCAGCCACAACAATTAAATCACTGACTGATGAAGTGAATAACATTGATTATATCATGTGTACTGTTGTCATTGCTCCCTCCCAGGAGTGATGGGAGTGAGCACAGGACTTATCTTTTTGTATTTGTATTCACTTTTTGTATCACACAGCTATGTTACAATGCTGCCGCCCATCCCATGTGTTCTCTATTAAGGGTTGATAACTATATAGGGGTGTATATAAAAAAATACCCCTCTCTGTCTCATTAGAGATACCTTTGCCAGAAGCTCAAGGAAGCAATGTGAAAGGTTCATGTAGGACCCGCCTAGGGGGGGTCTGCCTTGACGTTGGCAGGCGGGCATTCCTTCCAATGACCATTGGAGTAACTAAATATACATAGGGATTTAGGAGAGCGCAAGTAACTTTTTCTTTTGGTAGGATATATTAGGCAGCAAATGAACAGTCAGTTCTTAATTTTCATGTGTTGGAAGCAGGAAAAATCGGCAAGCGAAAATATCTGAGTGACTTTGACAAAGCCTAAAGAAATAGTGATGGCTAGACTACTGAGTCAGAGTGTCTCCAAAATGGCAAGTCTTGTGGGGTGTTCTTGGTATGCAGGAGTTAGTACCTACCAATAGTGATTCAAGGAAGGACCTCAAGTGAACCAGTATCAGGGTCATGGGCATCCATGGCTCATTGATGCACATGGTAAGTGGTAGCTATAATGTCTGGTTTAATCATATAAAAGAGCTACTGCAGCTCAAATGTCTGAAAATCTTAATGCTGACCATGATAGAAAGGTGTCAGCACGCACAGTGCATCGCATTTTGAATGGTCAGAGTGCTTATGATGACCCCTGTAAATCGCCAAAAGCACCATTAATGGGGACATGAATTGGACCATACATCGATGGAAGAACTTGGCTGGAGTGATGAATCACATTTTTATTTAGATCAGGTGGATGCCTGGTTGCTTGTGTTTTGTTTACCTGGAGACGAGATGGCAGCAGGATGCACTATGGGAAGGCAGGCAGGTGGAGGCGGTGTTATACTCTTGTCAATGTGCTGGTAGGAAACCTTGGGTCCTGAAATTCATATGGATGTTACTTTGACATGTACCACCTACATAGAAGTAGACCAGCTTCACACCTTCATGGCAATGGTGTTCTCTGATGACAGAGGTGATCAGACGAACAATGTGCCCTGCCATACTGCAAAAATTGTTTAGGAAATGTTTGTGATTTGCTGGAACAACACATCTGATTCTTTGAGGTCCCACTTCGCAATTTGCAGGACTTAAAGGATCTGCTGCTAATGTCTTGGTGCCATTGCATATACCACAGTACATGTTCAGAAGTCTTGTGTAGTCCATTACTTGATGGATCAGACCTGTTTTGGCAGCTCAAGGCTGCTTGTTTTGTTGTTTTGTTTTAAGCAAAGCTTCCTTAATTTGTGTTTTATTAGCTCATTTAATAATTTCTTTAAGTAACTATACATAGGTTTACAGTGCAATCATGCAATGTGCAATTCCCTGGCATTTTGTGAAATAGATTTTTTATGTACATGGTGTGCAATAAAGTCTGAAAAAGTGATTTGTAATTCTTAAAGCATATGCCTAGCTATAAATGTGATCTGCTCCTCTGTATCGTGTAGATTGGCAGTAAATTGTTTTTAAAGTAATATTTAAGTTAAATGAATAAAGAACATATAACATTGTATTTTAAACTACTAATTAAAAGTACCATTATAATATGCCATAGCATAGCTTCCATGTAAGTATCATTGTAAAGACTTTGAAAAAATATATACCATTTTTAATTAAACACCATAGCAGCTATACAGTTATATAATAAATTACTTTACTGATTTTTTTTCTTTTATTGGACTATATAACTTGAAGTTCCATACTATTAAATTAACCTTCCCATACCTGTCATTGAATCTGTCCTGACTTTGACTTCTTGTTCCAGTGCCCTTTTACTGCGTTAAATGGACACTGTAGGCACCCAGACGACTTTAGATCATTGAAGTGGTCTCGGTGCAGTGTCCCTTTTACACCTAGTGCTGCAATATTAAACAGTGGCTGTCTACCAGACTTAGATTTATACCAGTGGCCTCCTGGATCGAAACGGACCTTTGGTCCGGTATCTGATGCTGGACGCTCTGAATGAGTACCTCCAGTGTCAGATTCTTCCCCATAACAAAGCATTGATTCAATACTTTCCTATGGGGAGTTCTAATAAGCATGCGCGACTCTCCTCTGTCCTGCATGTCGCGGGGCGTCAGAGGGGGCGCGTGGGAAGGGGAAGCAGAGGAAGCAGGGGAAGCGATAGTGCCAGGAATACAGCTTTGTATTCATGGCACTATAGTATCCCTTTAACATCAGATTATTACTACATTTAATATAATCATCCTATATGTGCACTCTATATACTGTAACTTTACTCTTTATACAGTAAATATGTAAACAAAGGTTTTCTGGCCCTCATGTCCTCAGGATTTTTCTCAA